TACCATTTTCAGAACCTGTAAGATACTACCTCCTTCGCAAAGTCCAGTCACTGAACTGTATTCTGTGCCACGTTAATCAGTCCACACACTAACACCCGCATTTAAAAAATATTATACCGGTTTCAGTAGTGTTCTTCCATCTATACTTAGGTCTTCCTAGTGGTTTATTCCCTTTCTATTCATTTCTTATCTCTCCCATACGTGCTACGTGCTCCGCCCAACTCTTGTCCTTTGTTGGATCACACAATAAATGTTTTGTGAAGAGTACAAATTACGAAGCTTCTAATTATGTAATTTTCTCAAGTATCCTGTAACTTCCTCCCTCTTGGAATTTTCAACTATAGGCGACCGTCATTTGTTTCCTAGGATACGCTGTAGGCCTACTTCTTTGACTAGCTCTGGATTATTTTGTCCGCGAATCTGAGAGGCGAGCTGTGGTACAGAGCATGCGCACTGATTGCTAAAAATCTAAAAGTATCTGGCCGTAATATATATATTTTTTTAGGATTTTATTTTCAAGGTTTCAATAACGTGTACCAATGAAAACTTAATACGTCAGCGTATTCGTAATTTGTTCCAGCGATATATTAATATCTCTTACCGTATGTTGAATTTGCTAAAGGGTTACTAAATTGTGGTTAATATACCAATGTGGCTTAAGGTAATACCCTTTAATAACACTTAAAAGTAATATGTACTACGTAACAGAGGATTATTCTCCAATGCCGCACTTTTATGAGCGAAAGTTTCAAAACCGGTCATAAAATTTGAAATAGGATTTAATGGATAAAAAAATTGTCTGTTGGTTCTATAATTAATTTAATATTTATTGGAATATGATATGACAACTCCCCGTTGAACGAGGTAAAGAATATCTATCGAAATCTCTCGTAATGAATATGCTTTAATTGAGCAAAAATGAAAGGGTTTTGAGCTATACTTACGACGCATTACCAGTTAATTTTATCAGCATTTATCAAGGCTGTTTACAAACAGACGAAGAATTTAACTCGTTCCGGGTTGTACTCGCCATTATAACTGTTTACATCAGATAATTCAGTGCCTCATTTTCTCATATTATAATGCTACAGTGATGGTGCAACATTTGTTTTCATGAATACTACTAGAGTAACTGCAGATATGTTACGTCCGGCTTTGTTCATAATTTACGTCTGAATAAAATGATAATAAATAGGTAGACCCTAATTGCTGTTATTTAAGATAAATGGTGCACAGAATTTAATGGACGAAATCACAAACCGCAGTTTTGTGGTTCTCGGAGTTGTCACATTCTTTAATAACACTGTTGAAGAGGAATGTTAAAACAAATTTAGTTGGTTTAAACGCTACGCGTTTGTCATTTGTTAGTCGACATTTCATTGGACACGAAGTATTCTCTTTTTATTTTCAGTATTTCCAAGTTTTTTTCTCGCATATTATGAACGTTTTCCGTCAGGAAATTATGACAGTAGTCAGATTACAAATTAATTTAAATACCGTTGTCTTTAGGATCATAATTGAAAATTTTTAAAATCATTAAATATCGAAACGTTTTTAATAACATCTTGTGTTTAGAGGCCTAAAACTTTAAACGCTGTCTTTCACGATAATGAAGATTACCGAAACATGTGGAGTTATGTCGTTAATTTAACTGAATAAATTTCAGATGGTTTTTAATTATGTAGCAATCTCGATAGAAAAGTACTAACTAATTAGATGTCCTTACGGAACCCGATGGTTCGTCACCGAACTAACCAAAGCCCTCCACCGGACCCTGTCCTGGGCCAACAAAATCCAGTCTCCTTCAACTCCTATCTCCCATAGATCCCGCCTGAGATTATCCTCCCATCTACGTCTAGGTCTCTCCAGAGGTCTCTTCCCCTCAGGCTTCCCAAATAGTGGACCCAACCAACCAGATGGCTTACGGAACCCGAAGGTTCATCACCGAATTAACCAAAGTCCTCCACCGGACACTGTCCTGGGCCAACAAAATTCATTCTCCTTCAACTCCTATCTCCCATAGATCCCGCCTGAGATTATCCTCCCATCTACGTCTAGGTCTCTCCAGAGGTCTCTTCCCCTCAGGCTTCCCAAATAGTGGACCCAACCAACCAGATGGCTTACGGAACCCGAAGGTTCATCACCGAATTAACCAAAGTCCTCCACCGGACACTGTCCTGGGCCAACAAAATTCATTCTCCTTCAACTCCTATCTCCCATAGATCCCGCCTGAGATTATCCTCCCATCTACGTCTAGGTCTCTCCAGAGGTCTCTTCCCCTCAGGCTTCCCAAATAGTGGACCCAACCAACCAGATGGCTTACGGAACCCGAAGGTTCATCACCGAATTAACCAAAGTCCTCCACCGGACACTGTCCTGGGCCAACAAAATTCATTCTCCTTCAACTCCTATCTCCCATAGATCCCGCCTGAGATTATCCTCCCATCTACGTCTAGGTCTCTCCAGAGGTCTCTTCCCCTCAGGCTTCCCAAATAGTGGACCCAACCAACCAGATGGCTTACGGAACCCGAAGGTTCATCACCGAATTAACCAAAGTCCTCCACCGGACACTGTCCTGGGCCAACAAAATTCATTCTCCTTCAACTCCTATCTCCCATAGATCCCGCCTGGCATCAGTATTAATAACTTCTTTAAAATGTTTTATTTAACAAAGTCTGTGTTTGTGTTGTGTAAAATTGGTTTTATATCGCATAAAACGGCCACGAGTAATATTAAAGTCATTATATTCGCATTGACACGCACAGTTGATTTGTCAGCTGAAATTGTCACTGGCTGTCGATTGAGTAATGATCGTTTGTACACGCTGAATGCTTGCGGAGATAGGAAAATCACTCGAAACTCGCCCTTTGACTTCCGTTATCACGGACGGCTCGAAGCTCTCAAAGCATCTTTAAAATAAATTAATATATCTACCAGCACCATAAAAATAGTAACGCTGTAGTAGACACGTACGAATGTAAATGAACACAAACACAACCATTAAAAGATTCAGTGTTCAAAGGGGGAGGGTGCGGTGTTCTGCAGCTGTGAATGGCAGAATAGCTGATTTCACAACCCCCTCTGTCTGGCTTCGTTATCTCCGGCTCCTACAACTTCACCGCGTTACAAAAGGCTCGCTTACTTTGCTAAAATTAACATGTTTGACGTCACACTCTAGATTGTAACAGAAGAGCATTGCTGCTGTTGCTGGTACAAAACTCGAATGGCCTCGCTTTTACGAAAAAGATTTTTTTTTGGTCGAATTCGATAACACTTCAAAAAAAACACACAGTATTTATGGAGGATCAACAATTTAGAGTAACTGAACGAGAATCAATACAATATAAAATGTCTACCGTGTTTCGTCATCAACGATTATGTCCTCCGAGTGAATCGACGTAACTTCCTTGTTCAATGTTTTGTTTGTTTTCAAAAACAAATTCTTATCCCAGACAGCATGACAGGAAGAGGCTTTTGAATGATGGGGCAAAAAAAGCTTTCATCTACAAAGACGATAGTTTCTCGTACATTCCGACCTCCTCTTCTGAGACACCCCCCCCCCCCCACAGCTCACCTTTGAGACATTTGTTGACGCCAGATAAACGTCGGCTAAGTTGGGGCCTGTAGTTGATGTAGACGCTTCGCCCTCTTTGACAACGTAAACGAGTTTCAGATGGCTCGAGTGAAGGTCGCCTAGGGAGGAAGGGAGGTTCAACACGGAAAAGAAAAAAAGTACGATCAGGGTTTCAGAATTCTTCTCCTCGAGTCTTTGCCCTGACTCAAAAGTAAGTCGTCGATCGATTTAAGTTCAAGCAAAACTAACGTTCGACAGGAAGCATAAGTCTCAAGGCGTCTGGTTTGAATTACGCGCACGCTCGGAAAACTTTTAAAATGTTTATTGTTTCTTCGTACGCGAAGTGTTTTAGAGGACACTTTATGGCCCTGTTGTGTCTGTCCGTCCGTCCGTCCAGTCGATTCAACTCTAGAACCACTGGACGGATTTGGAAGAAATTTGATATCCTGACAATACTACAACGATTTACAATATTGTAACAAAATTACATTCTACGAGATCGGTGCTGGACAGAGATAAACCTCTAAAAATACGTGCTGACTGAAGAAAATCATGATGACATCGAGGCTTTATTGGAAGCGAGCTCTTCAGTGTGGATTGGAACAAAAGCATAGTTCACGCTGGTACGAAGTTGTTAAGTTTCAGGTTTGCGCCATGTTCACATACCGTCTGGGGGATGTGAATGTTGCCAGTTAAACATCCGATTAAACAGAAATTATTTTGCCCCCATCGCAGAAATGACATAGATTAAATCGGTCGTCAGAATCTAGTTTTTTTTAAAAAATCGGTTAGTATCAGGTGATAAAGATTTAGCTACAATACGCTTCATAAGAAATTACGTGTCCTTTATACCAATATACCATAAGGTAGTATATTTGCGTCATATTGTGAATTAGGTTAATATTTTAATATTTTCCGTCAAATCACAATTTTAATAAGATAATAAAATATAAAATATTTAAAATATCATTTCACGTTCCGCATCGAATGATCGATTTACAAATTGAGACGTTCCAATTTGTAAATCGATCATTCGATGCGGAACGTGAAATGATATTTTAAATATTTTATATTTTATTATCTTATTAAAATTGTGATTTGACGGAAAATATTAAAATATTAACCAATATACCATGACGAATGCCGAAGGTGCAAGCTATTAGACGTTAATACTTGTTTTTCCTTGCACAGATACTCTCCATTTCATCCCAGTGGGGCACGAAGCCCGGATATATTTGGCAGCCCCATCTGGCGTACAAGTGACCAGGGTTACTGCAGTGGACCGTCGCAACCCGGAATTCGCGATAAGATACTCTCTGGATCCAACGAGAAACGACAGCCAATTCTTCCAGATTCACGCAGAATCCGGCAAGATCACAACAAAGAGGCAAGCCTTTCTTTATGAAGCGTCAGGTCGTGTAGCCTCCGACAGTGTTTAGGAGGCTGTTGGTTAAATTCTGTGTCTTAAAATTAGACGTAAGGCAAAGCGAATTCCTAGGCTGACCACAACTTCAACTGACTTAGCCGTTTAGCTGAGTGGTGTACGTGTCTCCTGTAGGTGACCTTTCAGCCGGTCACAAGGGTTCCGTCTACATGATTAAGTTTAAATTTGACTAAATCACGCAGTGTGAAGAGATCTAATATAATCGTCACTTTATCCTCTGCAGTTCTGTTTCGGCTTATGGACATGGAAATGTATACGTAAATAATACTGCAAAATGTTTTTTTCGGGGGGAAGAAGGGTTGTTTATTTCGCGCTGGTAATTTAATATTGAAGAGACGCTGAAGGATACATCGTAAGTGAAGAGATTAGATTCAGTAATTGGGAAGAGTAGTCTATATTTTGGTTAAACATTTGAAACAATTGAGGTATAAATTATCTGTCATAAATATATTTATATACCAAGAAAGATCTCAATGTTTTCCTGCAGCTGTGTTTTGAAATTTGTCATGAAATATATCACAGAACAACAGAAGCAGATTTGGGATTCCCAGCTTTTATTTTGTGAGGCGATGAGTCCGAAGATGGATTTCTCCTGGGTTGTTGCGCCGTGTAGTCTGGTAGAAGTTGACAGGCGTTTCAGATGTCCTTGCTGCCTGCATCATCAGGGCGCAGCAACTCAAAAGCTAATATTCGCGTAGTTTATCAGTTGAATTTGAGCTTTTATTGAAATATGTTTATTGCTGTCTTAAAAAAAGTCCGCCCGCATGTAGTAGCATCTGAAGAGGGACTCCGAGTCAGATGGGATATTCATGCAGGAAGCATAAGAGGTTGGGGAAAGCAGTCTTGGCCTGCTTCGAGACATTTTCCCAGAATTTATCGGATTTGACTGACAAAACAATAAAACTTGATTCGGGGAGTTGGTATTCGATCTGGGTTCGTCCGTAAGACCCAAATCGTGTTTTATTTTCCTTTCTCTGTGGCTGAATTGCTGTGAGATAATTCCAGAACGCGTCGTAAACGTAGTAGCGAATGGGCTTTCGTGAGAATCGAGGAGGGGAACAATCCACGTGGCATGTTTCATGTCTTGAAATAGAAAGACGAAATTCCATGACGTTCGAAATCTATGCCGTAGCCACAATACAGGTGCTCCTCACATCTTACTGTCGGCTTTATTGTGAGAATTACAAAGACATTCAGACGTCAGGTGTCGCTCGAGTCTGCATGAATGGAGACCCGAGACAATAGCTTACGTATACACAGATTAGATAGTGTAGCAAAACATTTGAGGCAGCAACCACACAAAATCACTTCTCCGGACTTGGTGTTTCCGTGCAGAAGGTAACACTCGCGTTTTAATCAGGAGGTTCCGATTTCGAACCTCGACGCAGAGGTAGCTTGTTCTGGTAAGTTCTCGTTCTTATATAAATAACCTCAGAAAATACTCTGATGATATTTCACAAAATACCACAATGGTTTCAATCTGCATTTTTAAACTGTTAATTATTAAAATCGCCAAAAAAAAAATCGACGTATTTAAGAGACAAAATATCTTTACTTTACATATTACTCCAGCTTTCCTTCAAATGTTCTCTCCTTGCTATTTAACTTTGTCGTGATGAAGTACATTTTCCACGTATTCGCATTCAGAATCTCGGGTGGAATTGGGTTAAGAGGTTGAATATTCATTCGCCCCGGTGGTCTTGAATTAACGCTGGGTAGGATTTTACGGCAGTTTTGAAGACTCAGTTCCTTGCAAGGAAGGCAAGTTTGTCTACGCTCTGGCATCGCGTAATGCATGCACATGTGTCATGGGTCATGGGAGGGTGGAATGTTCCAGGGTCCCAAAAGCACGTCTCTTTCTAACCAAACTACCGTCTTTGCTGACGTAGGAATGTTGCAGAACCGCGTTTAAAGGACAAGTACATGACCAACCGCATCAAAGGTGGACGTTGCCGGTAGATTCCTCTGCGCTCTCACGGTTTCTGATGGAACCGCTGGGTTTTTAATTCCATTTTCCAAATTAGCTTATGAATTCGCTTATAAATTTGAAATGCAAAGATTTTTATGTCGGATGATACGACGACATGTTACAACAAGTTTCGAACGCAATTTCAGAACAAATAAAGTGCATCGACAAACCGACGCTGAGCGTCGAGACCCCGATTGAAGATTTCACATGTATTATACATATGGATAGTAAAGGTACGAGACATATACTGGCAAACCGACGAACATCGTTTCAACAGCAGTCGTCCCGACGTCTACTTCAGACTCCATATTTAGCGACGATACGACACCACAAAACCGATGCTAAGCGTTCATGCTCCCGTTTGAAATATAAGGGATTTTAGGATGCCAGTACACAAGAAGGTGGAAAACGAAGGCCGAGCGTTATGACGGTTAATGGTTAATAAACCTAACCTAATCTAACCTAACCTAACCTAATCTATCCTAACCTAACCTAATCTATCCTAACCTAACCTAATCTATTCTAACCTAACCTAATCTAATCTATCCTAACCTAACCTAACCTAATCTAACCTAACCTGTGTTAGAGAGTTACGGTTACATTAATTTGCCCTGTACAAACATTAAGCAATCGTTCTGTTAAATTTCTGTGAGACTAAAATACATATATTATATTTAGCGCGTGGTTTTTGAATATTCACATTTGCAAAACTTACCCTGGACAACTGCCCGCTATCTGTGGGAGGCTTTGATTGATTTCTGTCAGTGTGAATGGGTCACATGACGTCACCCCCCTCACTTTGTCAATGCAGAAAAGCAAAATTTTTTGGCTAACAACTGAGCGTGAAACCAATCTGTTCTCTGCTTTGCACAATATCGATTATATGTCGTTAACACGATCTAAATCAGACAGTGGAATTGGTGAATGAACTCGATTAGATTTCGATACTATCGAGAGGATGCAGTCAAAACTTATTATGCATTTCAGATTGGACCAATATTTCATATGGATTCATGCATATTATTACACTCAGGTGACAACTGGAATGGAGAATTACGAGGTTCGACTGTAATTCGGGGAGCGAACGAGCGCTGATGAATGTTACGCTTTGGTGAACGGAGGTTCTCAAATTCCGAATTAGATTCCGTGCAGGTTCGAATGTCCGTGTGGATATTTTATGATTTATAGTTTGCTGCCCTGACTAAACTAACTTAATTTTTCGCGATAACACACTTTTAAATAGTCCAAGGTCGCCTGTGTTCGGTTTGATCGAGATTTTGGACTTATCAGGGACAAGTTAAATTGTAATTTTACGTTACGCTTAAGTAAATATCGTTCTCTGAGGAGACTTAAATATTATTTTACGTAACGAGGCCGCTCTGGTAGACCTATCATAATAATTAACCCGCGTCTACACTTCTTAATGTTACAAGGGTGCTAATTCGTAGATTGTTGGTAAGTTAAAGTGTTTGATGTTTTATAAACCCGCACTCTGCAGATCTGCGCTAGTCCCCACTGCATTGGGTTACAGGTCCTCAAGAGACAACGTGACTTTTCCATAGACGATAAATCCATATCATTGGGTATAAAACACGACTACCTTGTCCGTGGAAATTTTATGGCCGCAGAGCTGGAGGTGGGGGGGAACTGATGTAATACTTTCTCATTCTCCTTCAATCGTAAAAGTTTCATAACCTTGTAGATGCACGATCATTGGGTATTATTCCTCTGGTGATCTTATGTATAGTTTTCATATAATTTCACAAATATAAGTGTTTCAGAAATAATTAAAATTTATATTTCGCCAGCAGCTTTGAGGTTGTAATCAGCTTTTAGATAAAAATTTAAATTAAATTTTACAAGTAGGGCTGAAGTAATTATCGAGGCGTGTTACGCCGTACTTAGAAGGTGAGTCAGTAAGGCCACTGACTGAAAGTCTGTCTGGCTTTTGGTAGTCACATCTAAAGCTGCAATAGGAAAGCCCTTCTAGATTATATAACACAAAATATCTTCCTAGATGAGTTATGTTAACACAGGCATTATATTTGAGGGCGTGAGCTTACGTCAGGTTCTCAAGGCGTCGTAACAGAACTTAAAATCTTTCTGTTTCCACCCCTTACTCCGTGCCTAATATTCTCTGAATTTTTCTTATCTGCTATCCTCATCTTATGCTTTGCCTGTCTTCCGCCAGCAATTTGTTATTCAGATTCGTCTTACATAATCGAGGTCGCTCTCTTCCGACATTGCCCCACTCATTTCTCTGACCACTAGCTCCTTCCTGATTCTTGGAGAAGAGACGCGAGTAGATGGGAGATCCATTTGTCTGCATAAAATGCACTTATACTGATCCGATATATGCAGAGGGTTTCTGGTGGTAGAAGTGGCTTTAGGAGTAAAGCTACGGGACCCGGTGGGATTTGCGCGGGTCGCCGTCATAAATTGTTGGGTGGGAGGCGTCACACGGCTCGCCAAAGGGGAAGGGAAAACTGCAGACGAAGACAACTTCTGTCTGAAGACTTTTTTGTCGATAATTTCGTCACCCTGCTCCTTCGATTATTCTTTCTGAATGTTCCCTGCAGTGAAATGCCTTCGCAGACACAGCAACCATAATAATCATCATCGTCATCAGGAACTGTGATATTTCTTTTAAAAAAGTTGTTGGATTGAACAGATTTTAACCTGTTTTCCTTGGTTTTTGTAAGGATTTGAGGTTTTCACGGTGGTGGGGTCTTCTGGGTTGTTGCGTCATGTAATCTGGAAGACGTCTTTGAGATTTACACTAGGTCTAAGTGTTAAAGGAAGCCTTTCAAGATTTCAACCATCAAACACTCGGCATAATCAAGTTTTCCGCTTTAGGTAATTAATTGTAATTAAATCCGCGTTGGAGGAGGGTTCACTGCTTGTGAGATTATAAGTTATGGGGACCGCGTTTATTTAAAATCAACATGGACTGCTGTTTGAACTGATTCCATCTGTTTCGTCGGATTGAGTAGCAAATCACCAAGCCTCGTATCACCGCAGTAAATTGATAGAGATTTTGGTGTCCCGTTAACATATCCGAAGTCTGACATCTGATTAATCCCTTAATCACTTCATCACGTTCTCTGACATCAATCATCCATCTTACAGCAATACGTAAGTAGGTGACAGAGGGTCTGTGTCACTACCACACGACGTTTTAGAGAGCAGATCGTTGGATCACAGCCTCGAATTTTGCACAAGGTTTGGCTCTAACTGATGTTCCTGGTATCTGTTAGCCAATCCTTCACTGTTTCAAAGAATGACACAATTTTAATAAGAACAAATATCTACAAGTTTACAGGTGCCTGTCACAACCCCAAAAGTTTGTACAGGTTGACTGAAAAGTCATGCAACCCATATTAAAATACTCGTTGATGATTCAGTAGGAATTGTGCAGGAAAGAGAAAGTTCCGTTCGACATTAAGATAGTTTGAACGAAATCCGCCAAATTCTGTTACCCTTTCTTCAGAATGGATCGTCTGCTTACCTGGGGCGACGATTGGATTGGGTAGATGAGAAATGTAAACTAACTTGTGCCTGAGAACCGCGATACAAAGAGATTTGTCAGTAGAACGGGGGATTGTATCACGAGATGGAAAATGTGTACTCAGATTACATTGAAAACTCAGAGGTGTTCTTTGCGATAACATCGACAGGTTTGCCTCGTTCACCACCACGTCTGAAATGAACTCAGAACTTGTGTACGTTTGGCGGGCTTCAAGTTTTATAAAGAGCAAGGAATGTTTTGTATAGTAAAGCGACTATTAAATTCTCAAAGATAACATTGGACTTAGTTGTGTGTTGTCTGTAATTTATAATATAACTTGTGTTGTTGCTGAGATTTCAAGCTTATTTTCTGTTATATTTCGAGTATGCAACTTCTAATATAGGCCTATGTTACGCTTAAGTCGTAGGCACAAGATTTTAGAAGCAGTCCTGTGACGTGAGGTAAATATTGTCTGCATAAAAAGTCCTTCCGATATTTTTCTTCTATTAATATGGATGAAACTAAAAGGAAGATGCTCTCGAAATGGTGCCGGGTGGAATCCGAGGAAGGGACAGTATTTTATAGCGTGAAACACCGTAAGATATAACTGAAGTTTAGCGCAGTTCTAATTTTAAAAGCAATAAAAACATTCGATTTATCGATACTTCCTCTCCCTTAACCCGAACTTTGTTGAGGTTACGTCGCATTGACTTATATTTCATTCCAGACTCCTGCTGTTTCAATCATCTTCCTCGTTTCCTGTTTGCCTTCGTGTCAAGAAAGAGATGCCATTTTCTTTATCAGCTCAGAGACGTCCTCGACTTAACGGTATTGACGCAGAATCGCCTTTTTCCTATTGTACATATTTTATGGTTTACAAATCAGATTCCACTTCGCACTATTTCGTGTTTAACTGCGCGTGAATTTGAAGCTCCATTCAAATCCTGAACATTTTTCTGAGTCATTGCGTCCTTCGAATGGTCTGCACGGTCTAACACTCGAAACTCAATGTCACAGTCAGTTCTGACGGGGCGGGCACCTCTTTTTTTTTTGTAAATTCGAGAACTCTCTTTAAAAACTTAACAATAATTATCCTTTCTCACTGTCGAGACGTTGGGAAAACACAATTAGTTATTAAAATGTCGAGTACTTTAAAGCTGAACAGACTAATAGAATTTGAACACTGAATCCACCGTGTTCTGAGTACGAACTTGTGACGAGCTTTTGTGAACACGGGATTTCTTTGATGTACGCGTCTGTGATTCAACTTTAAACTTTTAGAGAGACGTGGAAATATTTTGCTAGTATCAGACCAAAATTCTTAACACTGAAAGAGGTGTGTTAATTAATTAATTAATTAATTATGCATAGTTTGTTTCAAGAGTCTAAGGACTCTTAGGGACATCGATGGTTGAAGTCTTGGGACTTCTGTGAAGAGACGGGAATGATCAAAGAGCAGTTTTAAAGTGTCGACGCGCTGTGGTTTTCATACGGAATTAATCTGTTGACGAACAGAGATTCTCTTGGCAGGAGATAACAATGGTCTTTCACTTTAAAATCAGACAGAAATATCACCAAAAAAAGATACAAGCGTCTAAACACGATATTCAGACAGAAAATTATGCAAGGTTTTGATACACGAAAGAAGCCTTGGTGATATAAATAAAGCAGACCGGATGTTGCGTGTTCGTTTAAAAATCTTTACGTTACAGTCTTTTTCATTGTGTTCTTTAATAGCAGCCAGTGTTTTTGCGTGATTTGTGTAAAAATGATATAATTATTTATGCTGAGACTTATATCTTACAGATACATCACGAAAAACGCTGGAGAGTTCTACTTGTTGACGGTTGTGGCGACTTCCGGCAGAGATACCAACGCGACAATGAACTTGATCATCCGTGTTGCTGAATACAATCGATACCCTCCTCAGTTCGAGAGAGCCAACTACACGTAAGTGCGACCGACATTATTGCATTCTTGAATTTGTTGTCTTGGAGTGTCACGGTTCTGAACGTACTTGCGTCTAATCTCAAAAACACGAACGCCATTTTGAGTCTGACGAAGTTTCCTTCACTAAACACCAGACGCTGAAACGGGGGAAAAATGGAATGAAGTCGCAAAGCGCCTGAACATGAACACAGAGATGTTTCGAAGAAGTTTTTATCGTCGTAGTCGGAGTAATGGAATGAAAAACGATTGGATTAAAACTTTGTTATGAATGTATATTTTCCTTTGCTGTGTACAAAGTGCTTTGATGCACAATAACATTTTTAAAAAAAGTACTTGGAAGCCTATGTAAATACGAAATATGATTACTCGTATTTAAAACTATCTACAGGTAGCATTAGAAATGATTAGAAGGTACCACATGCCTTCCTTCCTCATTATAATGAACGTTAAAATGTTTATCTTTCTAATAACTGGTCTCAAACTAGGATAACTCATTGTACGTACACAGAGTCCGAGCTTTCGACTCTTAGTTCAAAGTACAGCCTCGTAGTGCCTAAGTTCTGCTTTCATGGGGGCCTCGCCGCTTGAAGAAGTGTTCCTGGAACAGCATAATTATCCTGCCTAATATCTTCTTTCAATGAGGATTGTTCAGGACTTCGTGTTTTAGTGCGTCCCGTAAGTAGTAGTGAAGCTGGGTGAACGGGCAGGCCACGGCCCTTCAACTTGAAGCATTCGTAGAATTATTAGCTCTGTGGGTCGTATTATTGTTCTCCGTGAAATGGGAATGGGTTTCTTGCGTGTTTAGTCAGTCGATCGAAAATATATGTTAATTTTTACGTAACGTCGGATTTTATTGTTTTGTAAAATAATAATTTATAATCGAAATCCGACTTTTTTATCGTCTACAGGCGTCTTATAAAGAGATTCATAATTCTCGGTTGGCCACACAAATTGTTGGGTGGATGTTTACGTAAACCGCCCTTGGACTAAGATTTCCGGAAAGAAGCAGCCTCAGATTTAAGAGCCTGTGTCGCCACTGGTCGTTCATTAATTTCGTCTTTAAGGCTTTTTTGTATGGGTATGAGACTTGGTTACTTACGCGGGAGAAATAACGTAGATTGTGTTTCAGATCATTGTTCTGAAGATGATATTTGAACAAAAGAATTTCCTTAATCAAGAGTTTGAAACAAAATGTACAATTCGCCAATTGAAGATATCCGTCTTCTGGGTTGTTGCGCTGTGTAGTCTGGTCGATGTTAACCAACGTTTCAGAGGTCATACTGCCTCCATCATCAGGGCGCAAATTATTATTACGAGTGTGGAATGGTCATACTAACTTTTGTCGCAAAACTTAAAATAGCAGAGATAAATTTGTTACAAGGAAGAACAAATATTTAAATGCATCGTAAATCATTTTTTTGTGTGTGTGTGAGGAAGTGGATTGGATTTATCTGGCTCGGGACACGGCTCGGTGGCGAACTCTTTTGTAAACACTGATAGACCTTCGGATTTCGTAAAAGTGCGAATTGGATAATATTATTTTAATAATTTTAAAAGTTACGTCGCTCGCATTGGAATGCACGCTGTGACCATTACATTCCAGACAGGTCAAATGTTGACATCAGTTTGGCGTCATTTTAATTTTGATTTTTACGTAATTTTCTGTAACATGTCTTCCATTCCAGCTGCTAGTGACAGACTCGTGAGTGACGTGGAGTCCATTTTTTGAAAAGCGTTCATACGATCATGCATATTATCCAACCGTTGCATACAAATCATTTGTCCGAAAAGCCCAGAACACGAGATTTTTTTTTTTAATCATAGTGAAGGTTAAATTTCTTACTGATTCAGAAATAACAGGTCCGAATTATATTATAAGCAATAATGGTCTTCACCACGTGACTCATTCTTGGCAAAGATGTTGACTGTATTGAAACAATTTATCACATTGTTGTGTGGAGAGAATACAATGACTGCCATCTTGGATTTATGCTTGACTTTATGTTTAAAACTACTGTCAGTGTAGAGATAATGTCACATACGTAGTTTTTATTTCATTTAGGAAGTGAACTCGTAAATATAAATAGCAGTAACTTGTATAGAAAAATGCAATAATTAACAATTACGAGTCTCAGAGTCTAGATTGATCAGATTTGACTCGTAACAGTAGAAAATGTAACATCAATGAAAAGAATTCTGAGCTACTACAAGCAATTAAAATAACAATCGAATTGTCTTGGTTCGCAGAGTTGAACTGGACATTTTGACGTTGGTCCCCACTGACATTTTGACAGTCAAAGCCGTGGACAGAGACACGCAACAATACAACTCTGAGGTGTACTACAGCGTGAAGACGCCACAGGATGTGGTGACCGTGAATCAAACCACTGGCGTCGTGACGCTTCATAAACGTTTGTCCGAGAAATACAAAGAATTGTCCTTCACCATCTCCGCAAGAGATGGGGGATCCCCTCAGCGAACTGGGAGAACCAAACTGACCATCACAATTAAGATATTATCAGGTGAGAATTTAATGCGTAATAATTATTGGGTTTTTTTATGCAGATCAAGCTAAGAATATTTCCTTTATATTTTTAGCCTGAAGATGAACCTTAAATGTTTCTTGTCTCGCAGCGCCAAGAGACGTGACAGTTGTTGCGACTGGCGACAGATGGTGCCAGCTCTGCTGGAAGAGTCCACTCAGTGGACACGCGCTTGGCTACTCAATAGCGGTGCATGACAACGCGAGCTCAGTATTTCGAAACGTCAGTGTTAGTGAGTTGGGAAGAAAGGACGCCATGTTGTGTACTGCAGTAAATGATCTGCGCAAGTGGACGGACTACAGTGTCCAGGTGGCAGGCTGGAACGTGGACGAAGCAGGAATAACGAGTGCCCCAATTTCGTTTACGACGCGAGTAAATCGTAAGTTGAATATTAAAAACATGTTCCTGCTTAATAAAGATTAATTCTCATTTATCATCACGTATTATGACGTGCCCCTCGTATGCCCCAAATCTGCGACAACAGCAAAGAATTCAGAAGTCGATAAAAGCAATGATCGATCTCGAGCCTTAAGTTTGTTAATCGATACTCGCGATTTTGAAGTCGATATAATTACTTCCCTGGGAAGATGAGACAGTGCTTTATGAAATGCAAAGAATTCAGAAGTCGATTAAAGCAATGATCGATCTCGAGCCTTAAGTTTGTTAATCGATACTCGCGATTTTGAAGTCGATATAATTACTTCCCTGGGAAGATGAGACAGTGCTTTATGAAATGCAAAGAATTCAGAAGTCGATTAAAGCAATGATCGATCTCGAGCCTTAAGTTTGTTAATCGATACTCGCGATTTTGAAGTCGATATAATTACTTCCCTGGGAAGATGAGACAGTGCTTTATGAAATGCAAAGAATTCAGAAGTCGATTAAAGCAATGATCGATCTCGAGCCTTAAGTTTGTTAATCGATACTCGCGATTTTGAAGTCGATATAATTACTTCCCTGGGAAGATGAGACAGTGCTTTATGAAACGCAAGATGGTTTATCTCTCGTACTGTCTCAGTGATAAATTCTGTTTAATTCTTTAGATAAACTTTAAGCGTAGAGAAAACAGTTTTGACGTTTGTCTTGCAGGAAGTTGTCAGAGCATCAACTCCACTGAGTACACCTGCTCTTGTCTCATGGGTTTCTATGGCGACAACTGCTCTTTCTTCAACCCTTGCAACGGCTCAGAGCCGCCTTGCCAGAACGGAGGCACGTGCAAAAGGTAAGCTGTGATGCAGATGGATCAAGGTCTCTCTCTACTCGTCCGTGGCTGGTGTTAGGGTGGATTCTGAGTCTGAGGACAGATGTTGCCGGAAGCTGTTGCGACGCTCCACAGGCAATGGACTGCATGAAAGTGGATCTTTTAAATGTGTTGTTCTCCTGTGAGCATCTGCGCTAATTCGAATAAAGAATATTTTATTACTTTGAGAAGAGTTACCGTTGCCACACGTCATAATTGAATGGAGGTGTAGAAAGTGGACTGATTTTATCCAATGAAAAATATTGCGCTTCGTAATTAACCTTTCTGTCTTTCAAGGAATGCAATTTCTTTCAGTAACGAGAGTAACTTATTTACGTGCGAGTGCCCCGACGGATACTACGGCCCCTCGTGTGAGAACTTCAACCCCTGTTCACGGTCCCCATGCCAGCACAATTCCACGTGTTCAAATGTGACGAGTTCTAAGTACAAGTGCATTTGTAAACCAGGATATACAGGTAAGATCCATATTGCAGTCACAGTTATGTTTTATTACTGTTCTAAGGTTAATTTAAAAAAATTTTGCATTAAAAATTTCTAACCTTTCGCGAGAGAATTGCAGGAAGTTGGCATCTATCACGTGGGTGTGGGGAATTTTAATCCTTGCCTATTAATTGAAGAACAGGTAGAAAATCATGTCAAGATGATTAAAAAAATGATTGATGATCATTTGCATATTTTTATTCTACGACCACACATCTTAGCTACGAAGTCTGTGGAAAAATATTTATAAAATACAGGAAAGAGTCTGTTCTGACTAGAAATTTCGTAAAGGTTAAAGGATCAGTAGATCGGAACCCAACACGACGATCAGATCCATGTCACGTGATGCAATGTATTTATTTCTCTATTTTTGCAGGAAATATATGCGAGATAAACATAAATGAATGCGAGCCTTATCCATGTCTGAACATTGCCACGTGCATCGACGGACTTGACAACTTCACGTGCGTGTGTGCCAATGGATTCGAAGGTAAGGCTTTAATTCCTTTGTTGTTTGTTGGTTGAAGTGGTTATTTTTTTTAGGCACTACAGCAGCAGTGGTCGCTGATAATTTTCCAGCAGCTAAGAATATTCTAATACTCCAATTTCATTGAGAAATCCTTCTTTTTTCCTTGTAATTGCAGGAAACCTGTGCCAGTTCAATGTTGATGAATGTAAGGAAGAACCTTGTCAAAATGGAGGAATGTGTTTCGATGAAATTGGGTCGTATCAGTGTCAATGTCCCCCAGGATACGAAGGTAAATTTCTAGTAGTCGACTTTGCTGCTATTATATTAATTATTGTATTTACCAAACATAATATTTATTCGAATATTAGTAAGTTTAGTGATGATTGAATAAACATAACCACGGCTACAAATACATTTTTTTTTTTGGTTTTGAAGGGGCTCACTGCGAAATCAACATCGATGACTGTCAGTCGAACCAATGTGAAAATAATGGAACGTGTGTGGATGGACTTGGAGATTATTTTTGTAACTGTCAGGCTGGATTTGAAGGTAAGGATATTTTAGA